AGTGAAGATCGACGTCCTGCCCTATAAGTCCCACGATGATTGAAGACCCGAATCAAAATCAAGCCGAATTCTCTGTAACCACTTTTTGTAAATAAAGATGTTTGATGGATTTTGCAAACTATCTTATTGACAATGATCTTTGTGAGTCCGAAGGTTCTCACAGAAACATATACCAACACATAAACAGAAGCACAGAGATACACAAACAAACAAACAGCGTTTCCTGGTTGATGTTTATGATCAAAATCCTGCTCGCTTCGATGATTGTTGTGTGTCGACAACGATTCTTGTTGTGTGCTTGTCTTCGATGTCGTTTTTCTCGATGGTTTTCTCAAACTTCTCAAGGCCAGCGGCGTCGAAAACATTCGCATCCCGATTATCTAAAATTCAGTATTGTGTTTCGGTCTCTATTTCGATCTGGCAAATCCAAGAAAAAAACTTACAATTATGATCGTCTTTAGGATCTTGTTTCTCAACCATGAGTAGACCGTCAATGAGCCCCTCTTCCTTTAGCTCAGTTAGAAGAATCCAATTCTTGGCCATGGTTTTTGCTTCCATCTTCCAATGTTTGAGTGACTCTTGCTGGTCGTGCAACCAGTTTTTTAACAGTGCGGCTCGTTGATCCACTTTCGCTGTGTTCGTTAAATTAAGATAAGTGTCGAGGCAGTGAGGTTGAAAAATCGCCAACCTTAATAAATTGCAATAAATCAACAAAAATGCAAGGATACAAGAGCATTTACCTGGGAGATTAGGGCTAGAGGATTCAAGATAACGTTGAGCATCCTCCAGAGTATATCGTTCTTTCGTTGGACTAGGCAGCACCGGGCAGGATGCGTAGTTGAGTTGATGAGTTTTGTAGTTGAGTTGGCTCAAGGAATCCCATACACTCTAAAAAACATAGAATTCACTCATCAATTCTTATAAAGAGGCATTTCACATTTACAACTGGTCAATATACACTCGAAAACACTTACATATCCTTGGGAGATCTTTATGAGGAGCTTATGCTGGAGAGCCGCTTGATCATCAGGGGTCAGACCATAAGGTTTAATTGCGAAAAAATGCTCAAACACGAGTGATTGGACGTCATTCCAAGGGTCCGGCACATCTGCGGCACCACAGATCCACTAAAAACAAAATATGTGGCTGATAAACTCAAAAAACTATTTTACCATGAAAAGCACTCTCAAATTCCGTACGGCTTTCAGATGTTATTCGCTTTCATCGATGATCAAAGGCGTCACATGATCTACCATTTTTGATTTGTTGTTGCGCAGAATGAGGAATAGAATAACTGAAATTTACAAAAATTCTTAACAAAATTAAACGAAGAAACAAAATTAAAATTAATCGAAATTTAATGTTTCATGATTCTAATTTTCTAAGTTGATGCCCTGTTATTGATGAAAATTTACTTAAATAGAAATGAAACGTGATTGAAATTCTGAGTTGAGCGGATTGAATTAGAGTTCATACTATACTTTTGAAGTGCCGCCCGCCCATATGGGGACACTTTTTGATACTAAAATTCTTCGTTTTCTTTTTTCTCGTGGACTCTTTTAAAATTCTGTGATAGACAAAATTTTTTCAGATTATCAAAAAGTGTCCCCAGAGAATCGGGGGCGGTACTTCAAAAGTATAGTTCATGGCATCGGGACATACTAGACACCGGCAAATTGCGTCCCGAACCTAATTCCACCTTCGTAAATAGGATTCTAACTCGTATTTCTTGGTAAAAAACTCGGTGGTATAAAACTATATGATAAAAAAGTTGTTTAATGTTTCTTGTAATGTGATGAGGGCTTTTAACTGAATTTACCGTAATCTGCAGCAGAAAAAATGGTCACAATTTAGAAAACGGCAAAAAAATACAAATAAAAACGTCTCATTTTTATTTTACTTTGTCAGCTCTCCGGGACGGGACGGGTCTTTGACGGGTCCCACAAGGGGGTGGGGGTCTAAAGTCAAAATTTCGAGTGGTCCGAGGGGTGTCATTCTAATACAGCATTTACGGTATTCAAGCACCTTGATTGCTTTCTCAGAGACCAAATATTCAAAGATACGGTGGAGGTTCAAAATGCTACTGAACCTTTTATCAACTCTAGAACTTCTGCCTACTACATACATGGAGTCGAAAAGCTTGTCGTATGCTGACAAAAGCGCATTGATCGTAATGGATTTTTAATTTTGATTAGTTAGTGTTTTGAATAAAAAAATTTTTATGATTGAAGTTGTGTATGAAAAACACGAAAAATCATCCAGTACAATTTGAGCTGATATATCAGGTCAAATTGTACTGGATACAGTCAAAAGGAGGCCAGAACTAAAGCTGAAAGACTAGAATCACTGAGTGGGCTCACTTCCAGTATAATGATAAGCAAAGCTTGTAAACCCTCCGAAAATGTCAAATTTTGTATCCCATGTGTCTGATGATAGATGATAGTGATAGAGCTCTTCCAGAAAAACAAAAGCAGATTCGATGCCCGATGAAAGCTCTATCAGATAAGCTATCATTTTAAAACTCGTTCTTGATTTTATAACATTGGCTACTGAGATGATGAGGATCATAACGGGATTCCAGGATAAATCTAAATGATTTTTTAGAATAATTAAACTTTGTCACAATTTGAAGAAACCAATTTTTGTCTACAACATTTTGATTCGAGTAAAAGACAGCTCTTTTGGAAAGGCGGCAATACAATCTCTTATCAGAGTTCATTCATTTTCCGACCCTGGTAAAAGGCAATGCAAAAAAATGCAGGAATTGAATTTTTCTATTGCTCTTGATCTTTAATATCAATTCATAATGAATTTAAACTCATCTCTACGTAACAAATTGTTATTGGTAGTTGTCTATATTGGGCTATTGCTTGACTATTCTTTACTAACGGCTGTAGGTGGGTTTTTGTTATAGAGAAGTGAACTCACAGAGTCTGTGGCCATTCAGTTCAATTTAAGCTATTCAGTTTAAGCTAAGCTGTGGATAAGCTACCGTAATCTGATCTCTTTTTTCAGCAATATAAGCCGCTTTTTTGTACTCTTTTTTCTCTCTTCTTCTTCAGATTTTTGTGAGAGGCTTTCCCTAGATTTTTGTTTAAAAATCTGTCATTGTATCCTATATTTTGTAATTCTGTAATTGTATTCTGCTAAAATCTTGATTCTATTCTGAAAGCTTAGAAATTACATAGAAAGTACGCTCGAATCGGTACCTAGAAGTAGAATTGTGTCATTGTGTTACTTACTACTAAATTTTAAACATAAAAGATGTGCTTAACTTGTTTAAAACTTGGTAAGAAGCTATCTGAATTGGAAATTTTGTATTATAGATGTGAGAAAACTGTACAACTCTCTAGAACTATTCAATTCTCTAGAACTATTCAATTCTCTAGAAGCAATTCTAGAGATCTTTCAGGTTTACTAAGGTAAGACTTTTTTTGCATTTATGAGAACTCAAAGTGAAACAAGCATAGCATTTATCCACTTTTTAGCTTACTCAAAATAAACTTGCCCGGAATAAAAAGCTTTTTTTTTTGCTTATCTATTTTGTTCAACTTACAGAGCCAATTCTTCCCGCATTTTTCCTCGAAAGCTCCACTTCAAATTCAGTAACATTTTCCAAAAAATTCCTCCATCTAAATTCTAGAGTCAAAGCCAAAGACACGATCAAATTCTCGATGAAAATTTACGATTGGGTTTTCTGGTTGGATCAAAATGCCTAGTTCAAGTCTTCGCTCAGCCGTTGATCGGCCCACTTACGACAAGGTTTTTCAATCATAACTTTTTAGCGACGAATTTTTCAGGATCGGTTTTTCTGTTCCTTTATTCTTTGGATACTTGATCATGATCTTTTCAACACTTTTATTCGCTTTTGGAAAAAGTTATCTAATTTTGTTTTTGGCGAGGGCTGTTCAGGGGATTGGATCAGCTTGTGCAGCGACGGGAGGTAGTCGATTGAAACTTGATGACAATGGATTAATCAACAATGATAGACTGGGCCAGGCACAGTTGGCCAGGCACAGTTGGCCAGGCACAGTTGGCCAGGCACAGTTGGCCAGGCACAGTTGGCCAGGCACAGTTGGCCAGGCACAGTTGGCCAGGCCAGGCCAGGCACAGTTGGTCAGGCACAGTTGGTCAGGCACAGTTGGTCAGGCACAGTTGGCCAGGCCAGGTCAGGCCTCACCAATTCAGGTCAACTCAATCAAGGCCTAGTTAAAACTGTCTAAGCCGGTCTAGGGCCCAGGTCCATATCTGCTAGGTCTAGCAAAATTACTAGTTTCACTCTAAAATTCGCAATCTTGGGCGAATAACTTCTTTAAAATTTGGTTTGTACTGTGAGGTGATGATTTCTCTACAAAATGATACTTGAATGGGAGCTAAATAGCTAATTAAAGCCAATAAAAATCGGTTTTTGTACAAAACCTTTCAGTGTCTATAAAATGAAAAAGATTTGATCGATCTGTCTGCAAATTCGACTACTTATGTAATCAAATCCCCTCTTTATTTTCTCTATTTACACTAAATGAGATTTTGTTTGAGGAAAATGTCAAAAAATTGAGATTAAAGATCGGCGAAATGTTTAAACACTTTAAAAACGTCATAAACCAAAAAAAATTTTAAAAATTGGAAAAATAATCAAAGGCCATTTTGTTTTGGCATGTTAGAGCTTTTTAACAAAGAAAGCCGTCCTTTATTTGAAATTGCCGCTATTTTTGAAAACATTTTCAAAAGAAAAGGACTTGTGGGCCTAATATTATCTAGTCAAAATAATTTTTATATGTGCAAACGTAGAAATTTATTTTCTAAAAAAAACAAACAGCTAGCAAGAATTTCAAATTTTAAAGGTTATTCGCAAAAGATTGCAAATTTTTGGGTGAAACTAGTAAATTTTGCTAGATTTAGCGAAGTCTGGACCCAGGTTCAGGTTTGATATGCTTTTGACCTGACATGAATCTAAAGTAGAAGGATTCTGGCCTTGACATGGTTCAAAAGCTAGTTTAGGAATGGGTATGCTGGCTCAACAGTATTCTGATGACAAGCAACGAGCTCGTTACATGGGAATAGCGATGGGTGGAATGGCGTTAGGTAAAAAGCACAAAATCTGACAAAATTTTATCTGCTTTACATTCAAGAGGTATTATCAATTTGTTTTCAAACTTTACACTGAAAGATATTCAGCTAAAAGTTTTCTCAAGTGACTCAAAGATGGTAGGGAAAGAAAAGGTTGAAATCGCTTGAAATACTAATGTCCAGATAGCTTATACTTTGTCCTTGTTTGATTAGGCTCAAAGATTGACAATCGACGATAGTCATTTATCGAATCTCTTTCAAATTTGGGTAAGTAAACCAATAGAAACAATAAAACTAACAAACGGGGAGAAACTTGAAGCTAATCCTTAAGGATTAGCTTCAAATTCCTTAAAGGGGGGTATTAATCGCGGCCGGGTGACCATAAAAATTTTTTTACGCCAACCACCTGTTTTTTTATTTTAATATCGCTGATTTAATTATAAAAAAGAATAAAAATCACCCGGCTAGAGTGATTTGATGGGTTTACAAATTTTTGGAGACGCTGCAAGGCTCGCGTAGTTCATCTACAAGGTAAGCGCGAAAGTAAAGCAAAAGTCAGGCATTATGTTTTCTTTTTGTTTTCTTTAGCCTTTCGATCTACATTTTTGGTTTTTAACATCTCTAGATGCCTTTTTCAAGATGGAGATTTTATTTTTAGATAATGCAAAAGATCATTAAGCTAATCTAGCTTATGGTTTTCTAAATACTCTTGTTTTTTCGAAAGCCAAGAAAACTTATGTTAGGAAACAAAAGAAAACCACAATCGAATGGAAAAAAAAGATCTAATTGCGTCAATCAAAGCGCTGAAGATGGGGGAGATCCAGTCATTTCTGTTGAGGATGCGCTGGAAATTGACTAAGATAGGAAGCCAATCTGAGAAACTGCTGTACTTGAGCGAAGATGAAAGTGAGCAAGAGGAAGAATTATAGATTAACAACTTATTTGTATTGTTTTTTGTGCTTTTTATTTTGTTTTTAAATTTATCTGCAATTAAAACTCGATCGATCTAGACTGTGCTGAGGTGTCTGAGTGACGATCTTGTTTTTTCCAAGCCTTGCAGCGTCTCCAAAAAGTTGTAAACCCATCAAATCACTCTAGCCGGGTGATTTTTATTCTTTTTATAATTAAATCAGCGATATTAAAATAAAAAAAAACAGGTGGTTGGCGTAAAAAAAATTTTATGGTCACCCGGCCGCGATTAATACCCCCCCCTTTAAGGATTAGCTTCAAGTTCCTTAAGGATTAGCTTCAAGTTCCCTAAGGATTAGCTTCAAGTTCCCTAAGGGTTAACTTCAAGTTCCTTAAGGATTAGCTTTTTACCAATCCAATTAGTAAAAAGATAATGAGTCAAAGAATTGCTAGAGCTTTTAAAAGGCAATGTCTACAGTATTTTGTTAGTTTTCCATCTTTTGCGACAAGTTGGCTTTTACTTTGCATGTAAATTGATAAATTGTGTGAACAGGGAGTCGCTACAGATGAAAATGCAATTTTCTTTTCAGGTCTTTTAATCGGTGCTCCGTATGGCGGTGCAATGTATGACATTTTTCATGGGAAAGAAATCTGTTTCTTGATCTTGGCTGGATTGGGCGTGCTTGGAGTTGGTTAGTAAAACTAGATTTTTAACCAAAAAAAAGCAAGATTTCAGGTCTACAATTGCTCGTTTTGCCACCAAAACTCGAATTTCACGAGCACACAAGTGAGAGCACATCAATGCGCAAATTGCTTATGGATCCAAGGATTTTGATTGCAGCTGGTGAGTTTAACAATTTTAAATACTTTTAGTTGAACAAAAATTCACAGATCAGACTTGCAAAACTGTTTTCATTTGCAAAAAAAAAACTATTTTGAGCTCGTGTCAATCTTCTCCATAAGCTGATAACCGTTTACTGAAAACACTTTATTGACGCTCATCAAAAAACATCAAAAATTAAAAACAAAATTATTTAGGCTCAATTTTTGTGGGCAATTTGGGACTGGGAGTGCTGAGTCCGGGGCTTCAACTGTGGATGGTTGACAAGTGGAATTCGTCGGCTTTTGAACTTGGTAAAGAGAATAAATAAATAAATTGCATAGAGAATAAATAAAAGAATAAAGAAATGTAGATACAGACGACTCTTGATTTAACGGTTTACGATAAAAGTTTCGATTTAACGTTTTGTCAAATAATTTTTGCCGTTTTAGCGTTTTTTTCCACGGTGAGCCTCTCCTTTCTAATTGATTTATTGGCTGAATATCTTTAAATTAACCATGTACAGTCGAACTTCTCTATAACGATATCGAAGGGACCAAAAATTTCTATATAACGATTCTAAAACGTGGCCCAAATCTCTTGCGTAGCTGCCCTGAAAGGCCAACGATTGCGCTTGGCTGGACAGCTACGCAGAAACCAAGAGCCTGTTTTAGCGTTTCAAAATCGTTGTATCAAGAGTCGACTGTAATCAAAAATGTTAGGATTGCTTTAAATTGACAAAATTGAGAAATTTGAGTGAATTAGAGAGAAAGTACAGAGTATTACTCATCTAACTGGTTCATTTACTCAACTTGGTTATTGTAGTGAATAAAATGAATAGCGCCAATCGATTCCCCGGCCCCGAAAACCCCCGAGCACAAATTTACAGCTGAATATCTTCTTTTTATACCATTTACAATGCAAAAGAAAATCTCTGTGTAATCTCGTGCCGTGTTCTTTGCGCGGCAATCACTCACGACCTAGCATACCCTTCCGGTATAAAGTGCTTCCTTTTACCTCTCTTAACAATTGTTTTCTCAACTTTTGTTCTGTCTCCCGTTTTTCTTAGGATTGATCTAATGAAATTCTTTTTTATGTCATTTGCAAATCTTCTTGAAAGCTACGGTCGACCTAAGATATCACGAACTTTAATTAAACGAGCTTTGATATAAAAAACGTCGATAGAACGAAACGTTCGATATAAAGAACACTATTTTTTGATCCCAACGAAGGGTTTTACCTTAAAAATGGGAAGTGGGACAAATGCGGCCTTTTTTTGCGTACCCGGACATTTGCGCACCTTTTTTTCCGCACCTTGCCCATTAGCGCACCTTTTTTTAGCTTTTTAAAAAAGCTCTAAAAAGCTAATATTAACCAATTTCTATTCCAAAAGTTGTTTTTCTAGGTAATTTTAGGGCGTAGAATCGAAATTTTGACATATCAGAGCTTGTGGAAGCGAACGGACGGAGTTATACAAAGAGAAAGATCGACAATTTTCTGTAACTTGATCTAGCCGTTTTGTCTTTCAAATTGGTTCCACACGCTCTGTTATGTCAAAATTTCGATTCTACGCCCTAAAATTACCTAGAAAAACAACTTTTGGAATAGAAATTGGTTAATATTAGCTTTTTAGAGCTTTTTTAAAACGCGAAAAAAAGTTGCGCAAATGTCCGGGTGCGCAAAAAAAAAGGTAGCGTTTGTTCCACTCCCCATAACAGAGCGTGTGGAACCAATTTGAAAGACAAAACGGCTAGATCAAATTACAGAAAATTGTCGATTTTTCTCGTTGTATAACTCTGTCCGTTTGTTTCCACAAGCTCTGATATGTCAAAATTTCGATTCTACGCCCTAAAATTACCTAGAAAAACAACTTTTGGAATAGAAATTGGTTAATATTAGCTTTTTAGAGCTTTTTTAAAACGCGAAAAAAGGTGCGCTAATGGGCAAGGTGCGGAAAAAAAGGTGCGCAAATGTCCGGGTGCGCAAAAAAAGGTAGCATTTGTTCCACTCCCTAAAAATTACCTTCAATAACGAACTTTTTGGCTGGTTTCTTGACGTTCGTCATCGAACGTTCAACTGTATATCACAAGTTAGCATTAGTATTATCTCTAAACAAATTTGTGGACCTTTAAAGGATGAGTATTCGTTTAAAAGTTCCCCTCAAACCTGTTACGTATTCATTCAGGTGTTGTCTTCTTTCCCTCCTCATTGGCCTATCTCATTGGCACAACATTTGTCCCGAGCATCTCAATCAAGCTTGGAAGGTACTTGCTAAATCAAAAACCTCTATTATCCAATTTCAGATGGCGTTGCGTTCTTTTCGCTCTCCCAATCATTGCCATTTGTCTCTCTTTTTGTCTCTTTTGCACCAGCGATCTTCTGGCTTTTCATCCCAATTACAGTAATCGGGATTTGCATTTGTAAGTTCCGAAAAGTTAATATAAATGGATATTTTGTAGCCTTTATCGACTCAGCAATGATCCCGTTAATAACCCATATGGCCTACATAAAGCACAAAGATGAAAGTGAGTTAACTTTTAGGTTTGAACACATGGATAAGTGTAGACTTAACGCTTACAATTATCTACGAAAAAAATCTTACAGCTGGCGCAAAATTCGACGAATCTTCAAGTGACGATGAAATCTTTTCAGGTGAGTCCCGAAAAACTGTATTTACGGAAAAATCTCAATTGCTTTCAAATGAGAAACTGAAGGATGATCTTTCAATGGCTTTTACAGGTTAAATTCAAGCTAAAATTACACTTTAATACGCTGAATGAATTCATAATAATAATTGAATTCATTCAGCAAACGCCTATGCAATCAGTGATGCCGGATTGAGTATTGCGTTCTTTATCGCACCGTTTGCTTCGGGTCCTTTAGTGCAAACAATCGGTTTTCAATGGTAAGCCCTTGAATAATTAGATAGAAATAAGATTTAGAATTAGTACTAGTATATAATAGAATTATATCTAACAAAACCCTAACAAAACTTATTCTTAAATGGAATCTTTTAAGGACAACCTGGGCTTTCGCAATTGGTATTCTGTGTTTTGCTCCTTTAGCTTTACTCTTGCGAAAGCCTTCAAAAGGAGAGCGATTACAGGAAACTTGTGAGTTTTTCAAAGAAAAACAAGAAATGATATCAATTCAGCAATTACTTCAAGTGTTACCAAAATGTGATTGAAAAGACCAAAAACTTATTGAGCATCTTTATTTACATAAACTTTTTATCTCATGAACAACGCGGAGACCACAATATTTACAATCTGAAACTAATTATTTTAAAAGTATCCTGGGGGGTGGGACAAGTGCGACCTTTTTTTTGCTGGAAAAGGCCTTAGGCAAGGCCGTAGAGCTTCAAAAATGTTTTCATACAAGGGAATCGTATGCGTAGATTCCGAATTTCGACAAATCAGACCTCGCTGACACGTCAAATTTGGGCTAAAAGGCAAAAACTGCGGAAAAGCGTTAAGTTGCGTAGTTTTTGCCTTTTAGCCCAAATTTGACGTGTCAGCGAGGTCTGATTTGTCGAAATTCGGAATCTACGCATACGATTCCCTTGTATGAAAACATTTTTGAAGCTCTACGGCCTTGCCTAAGGCCTTTTCCAGCAAAAAAAAGGTGCGCAAATGTCCAGGTGCGCAAAAAAAAGGTCGCATTTGTCCCACCCCCGTATCCTGAATTGAATATTCAATGAATCTCTTTACCTGAAATAAAAAGAGAAAAAAGAAATCGATTCGATCAAAAATCATCACCCATAACAATTTCCATTCATGCTCAGCATCGTCTCTTTCCATGAAATCTCGAACAAGGTGAAGACTCTTGAAAATTGAGCGTTTTCTTTGTTTAAAAACTTCAATACCTTTTTTAATTGCCCTTTTACTAGATCTAACTTCAACATGTCAGCCACTTCATCATCAATTTTTGTAATTGGGATTGTTCGTTTTCGAACTGGATCCGGCTGTGCTAATGCCTTGACTTTCATTCGACGACAAGAGAAGAGCACGATTTTGCAGAGCCTAAAAATAAGCATTAGTTTGGAAAATGTTACTTACAAATTCTAAAAGGTACGCTTGCCGCCTAAAAGGACTACCGTATGCTATTTTAGGGTTTAAAAAGTAATTTTTCAAGATCAGGCTTGAAGTCATTTCTATCTGAGATTGCCTAGCTTGGCTTTGCTGCAGAAATTAAGCCTGAGGCTGGCTTCTCGCTCTGACATTACTTGACTAACTTACAATCAGATCAGCCAGTGTCAGATGATGTTCTTACTAAAGAACTGCTCCAACTCCAACTCCAACTTCAACTCCAACTCCAACCCCAACCCCAACTCCAACTCCAACTTCAACTCCAACTCCAACTCCAACTCCAACTCCAACTCCAGCCCCAACCCCAACTCCAACTCCAACCCCAACTCCAACTCCAACTCCAACTCCAACCCCAACTCCAACCCCAACAAGCATCAATTTGGGATATGGGACCTAGTGCAAAAATGTTACCTGGAAATTCTAAAGGATACGGTAATACCTGTAATACCAGCGCACCCATAACCAGTCAACTAATCGCTAAAGTAAATGATTTTTTTGAACGCGCCTAGAATTTCTAAAATAAACTGTTAGTACCCAAGAATTCTTCGCTTCAAGCGCTATCTTTTGATATCTAAGCGCACATTTTTTGTCGAAGCAGAGCGGAGAAGTGAGCGGCACAAAATTGTGTGTTAGACTACGCGACTGTACTGGCAAGGCGCTACCATTACAGGTATTACGATACTGTTTTTCAGTTTTACTCCATAGCATCCAGAAGAATGCTTTTAAAATTTGAGCACTCTTTGGAAAAATGGCACTGCCGCGATATGGGCTAGAATTTTTTCCCTTGAAGAAGATTGCCTGGCAGTGTAGCAGATAGTGTGCTCGCCCTAAGCTCTCCCCTTACCCCCCATTGTCCCTAGTTTGTTCTCGTTGTTAAAACCTTTTGCTTTTTTGTTAAACCAATTTTAAGTTGTTTTTGAGTTTTTATAAACACTAAGAAGCTAAATAGGGCTAAATGGCAAAAGATGTCTCTTCGGGCCCTCTTTGAATTGTTGTTGGCCAATTGTTGGCCTTGGATCTGGCTTCCGGCTTTTCGTACACTATTTGTAACCTGTCTAAAGTTTTCATGGAAACAACCATAAACCAGAATACTGTAGCTTTACTCTAAATGCACCTTTTAGAAGACAGCAAGACATGAACATAATTCTTACCAATCTGGCGGTCTCCAATTCCTTTGATCAGCCCTTGCGTGAAACTCCAATATCACAATCGAGATAAGCATCCCAATTGCGCACACAAAAATCTCAGCAATGATGTAATTTCCTAAAACTTTATGTTTAGAAGTAAAAGGCAAAAGATCTAACCTAAAAGCGGCAGCTGTGCTGTTTTCGGCATCATGTCCGAAATCAAATTAAGCATGTAGGAGATCGCCAATAACATGTTTTGTCCAATGTCTAGCTGAAAAATCTGATTCAGATTCAGATCTGTAATTCTTTTACAATATGCCATCGTTCCATTCTTTGAGAATATGATGAGAATAGGCCAAAGATCGTGATTGTGCCGATGATAAATGTTGGAATCTAAAAGTTTTTAGACTGAAAGGATAAAAATATCTTACTTGTATAACCATTATATAGTAAACTGGTTCCCGTTGTAGGTAGATACTGTATCGAATTTGAGAGAAATTCCCGGTCCAGGCTTGTTTCAAGTCTCCGACGAAGAGCTAAACATTTCTTGAATACCGTAAAAGCTGAATACCGTTGGCTTGGATGGCTTGAATACCGTAAAAGCTGTAATAGTAGCCTCGCCGCTAATAATAGCCCCAAAATTTGCATCTGCTCTTAGCTGAATATTTACGAGGATTGGATTTTGCTGCAAGCACCTGAACGCATAAAAGGTGGGAACCCAAAGGCCCCTGAAATGGGAATCTACTTAAAATGGGTTGCTGATGCTTGGGATTCAATTTCTGAAGAAATCATTCGTCGATCCTTCAAAAGCTGTGTTGGAATCGATCCAAATGGTGCCGACAACCAGCTGATTTACTGTTTTAAGTACGATGGCGCGCTTCCTACAGGACTACAGTTACTCAGGGATGCACATGTCGAAAAAGAAGTCGACGAGCTTCTGGATTTGCTTACTTCAGCAAATCTTCTGATGGTTGCTGATGCTTGGGATTCAATTTCAGAAGAAATCATTCGTCGATCCTTCAAAACCTGTGGTGTTGGAATCGAAAAACTGATCGTTCTTGGATTATTTGGGATTTGCTTCTCACCAAAGCGAATTGACGAGGGAAAACTCAATCAGCTTTAGTTAAAATAGTTTCCCTTTAAACGTGCTTTTTTGTACGTTTTGGAGAAATGGCCATTGTTTAAAATATTAGGGTGATGCAAAAGAAACTGCCGATGGGTATCAGCTCTCATTTATCAGAAACGAGCGATGCTAACGGCATTATTTTTTTTATGTTTTGTTCGCATATTTGTTTGCTATTTATTTCGACATTTGAATTTTTTGGTTGTTGTTTATTTTATTGAAAAATGCTTATATTTTTTATTTAGATCATGGTCGAGGAAAAGTTTGTGCAGCATTACTGTTTAACTTCAAAATTGGAAAGTCTGCTGCCGAATCGCATCGTTCTCTCTGTGCTGCTTTTGGAGGTGGCAGTTTGTCTCTCAGGCAGTGTCAGACTTGGTTTCAACGATTCCGAGAGGGAGACGAGGCTTTGGAAGATTACGAGCACGATTCGAGGCCAGAAGTCGTGAACGAAGCCAAGCTGAGGGATGTTATTCAGGCCGATTCATGCCAATCTGCTCGAGATCTTGTGAAAATATTCCATTGTGATCATGTCACCATCGAGCGCCATCTTTTTTTTGAATTTACCGTCAAATCGGCAGCTTCTTTTGCACCACCCTAATAGTTTTTAACGAATTCTAAATTTTTGATTCACGTGATCTTCCCTTACCTACTTTTTGGATCCGTCGAGTTTAAGGATTGAAAAAAAAGAATGACATATCATTCTAATACAGCATTTACGGTATGTTATATTTTTCAATTTGGTCATGTGAATGGCAAAAATTATTATCGAAAAAATAGTAACCCTTGCTCCAGAGGGTCAGCGAAAAAATAATGCCTCCCAGGGCTACTATTACAGCTTTATAGTAATTATTGAAAACTGTATCAGTGGATCAATTTGATGCTGTAAAATGAGCTCAAAATGAGCTGTGTTTTAGACTTAATTTATTTATGTCGTAGCCGATTATGAATTTCAGCTGATTATGAATTTCAGCTGATTATGAATGAGTGGGTCTAGGAGCGTCCAACCATCAAGTATTTAGTATCATTCAACGCAGAATCATTGATAATTATGTTAAATTTTTAAAATTAGAAAGATTTGATAAAAAGAAAAAAATTATGGGGCTTCAAAGTTTCCTCTTGAACAAACAGTTTTTTTGCTCTAATTTTTTTTTTCTTTTCATCAAATCTTGCTAATTTAAAAAATTTAACATAATTATTAATGATTCTGCGTTGAATGATACTAAATACTTGATGGTTGGACGCTCCTAGACCCACTCATTCATAATTGGCTACGGGGGTCCAGCCGATTTTGAATGAAACGTTGTAGCGCCGGCAATTTTTAACCTAAACTCACAAATTTGGTACCAATCGACGCAGAACTCAATTCGCTACAAAATGATATAACATTGTCCTCATACATCAAAGGGTTGCTCTACTAGAAAGATTTGCCAAAAAATTTCATTCATAATTGGCTAAGACATTTACAAGATTAAGCATAAAGTATGAACAATCAAAACTTACCGTTTCTACTTGTTGAGCCAAAATTTTTTCCAGCCTCCATTCCGCGTTCCCGGCGTAAGAAATGGGGTCGAGGAGCTAAAAAGAAAAGAAAATATAAGCTGAAGCGTTCTAATCGAAAAATTTTGCTCTCGGTAGGTATTGGTATGATTGTTTCATCCTAGAATTACTAATGATAAGATAAAAAAATCTTTTATATTGATTTGGCCAGAAATTCCGCCTTTTTGAAATTTCCATTTATAAATGAATAATTAGCCGATCAACGTGTGATTTGCTTTAATAAAAAAGATTAACTATTTCATTTAGTTCATTTTTAGGCAAATTTGAGTCCGCTTTGAAGCAAATCCGAACGCGAATTCTTGTTTTTGTTCTTGTTTTTTCTAAAATCCTGAGAATGGACATATAATGAAAACGGTTTGGTGAAATGTTATGAAAATTTACCTATATACCTAACTTTTTACGCTCTATCTTTTATCTTTTGACACAAAGATAGGTTTCCTTCGATTTTAGATTATTATTCTGTCCAGAAAGTCTTTTTGTTCCTTTTCTTTTCCTTTTAAAAATGAAAAAATTCATCAATTAACCTATAATTTACTTTAAATTAAGTGTAAATTTAAATTAAAAGTGTTTCTTGTTCAATTTTCATCTTTTTAAGTCAATTTTAGTTCACTTTCAAGCAAATTCATGAGTGCTAAACGCGTAAATACTGTAATAGTACCCCACCCCCATAATGACGGTGCGGAGTGTTGCATAGTCTAGCTTTGAACGAGTTTTTCTCGACACTGGTTTATGCTACAATGCGCGCTTAGGTATCAAAAAATAGCGCTGAATTTCAGCTATTTTTTGATACCAAAGACGCATCTTTTGAAAGTATGGGTGCTTTGAAAAAAATTAAATGCTAAAAACTTTTGCGACTACGCGACTGTACGAGGGGGGGTGGGGTACTATTACAGTATTTACGGTAGCTTTACATACCCCGGTCAACCTGGTAGTATCAAGGTTCACCATTAACCAAAAGTTAGACTCCAAAAGTGAAATTTTTTCAAACTTTCGAAAAACTTTTCAAATCAAGAATCCTAGCAACAAGTATTAGATATTGAAGGGAAATAGTTCAACTGTTTGTTGAACTATTTCCCTTCAATATGCTGAAGAAATAGTTGAACTATATGCTGAAGAAACAGTTGAACTGTTTCTTCAGCATATCATCTCACCGCTCCACTTTTATTCGGTAGATCTCCTCCATAAACATCGTCTGTCGGTGTCAATACGATGTATGATTGATTGAAGACCCATGAACTCAAGAAAACTTCGCATACTTGATGATCATAAGGAAAACGATCAAAATCGAGATTGCAAGGTACCGAGATCTGAAAGAAAACGGCTTAGAGGAAACGAATTTTTTTTTTACCGTAGTTGGGATTGATATTCGAATGTAGCCATCTTGACGTATATCACAAGTAGCAATTTCGCTTGGCACTAGTTGATAGCTATCAATGCTGTAATTGGATTGATTTATTGACATTTACATTCACAGATACACTGCATTTTCAACCAATTTTAGTTCTTTTAGCCTATAAAATGAAGAATCTTTCATAAATTCCTAAAATACAGTCCGTTTCATATTTCTTTATCCACCCCCCAAAAAGAGGTTTTATGGAGAATGGGTGGAGATATCGAGCTATTTTCTTTTGCAATAGAAAGACCATATTGTAAAACCCTAAAAACACCGTTTTTGGGTTACTGGATTTTCTCAACAAAAAAAAACTAAGAAAGAAGATTCTGCGACCGTTTCACATTTCTTTATCCACCCTTAGGAACTTTGAAAATCAACGCTTATTTGATGATACTATTCATTTTTTTGCTTTACTTAAATTTTTTTTATATTTTGTAATCATTTGTCGTCATTTTAGGAAATGGGAAGTTGGAAAGTGCTTTCTGATTACGAGAAGGGACAGATCGATGCCTACAAGATCGACAAGAAGGGTATTCGAGAAATCGCAAGGCTGTTGGGCCGCAATCACAATTGCATTCGACGTTATTTAAAGAACAAGAACGTGACCACTCCTAAAAAGAAGACTGGGCCCAAAACTCTCGAGCTAAGCGTCACATTGTGAATTCAATTCATGGAAAGTCTATCAATGAGGTCAAAAATGAGCTGAAAATCGCTGCTTCGAAGACAACTATCTGGCGTGCCGTCAAAGAAAATCCTCATATCGATCGTGAACGCCTAAATCAACAGCCTGCCTTAAAGCAAGAGCACAAGAAAGCCCGTCTAGACTCGAGGCAAATCATATGAACTTTGATTGGAGCAAGGTTGGGAAATGCTGTACTCTGAAATAACGGTTTTTATTTAGGTAATCTTTTCTGATGAAAAAAAATGGAATCTTGACGGACCAGACGGTGTTTTGCATTACTGGAGAGACCTGCGACAGGATCCACTGATCTTCGGAGCACGTAACTACGGAGGAGGAAGTGTGATGTGTTGGGCAGCCTTTTGCGCCAATGGGACGGTCGCTTTGAAATTTGTCTCCAGCAAAATGAACAGTCAAGATTATACTGAAGTGCTCAAAGATACTCTTCTGCCTTTCATCCAGCAAAATGTCGCGACTGTCTACACTTTTCAGCATGACAATGCTTCAATTCATCGCTCCGCTCATACAAAAGCCTGGTTGACTTCGCAGAGAATCAACATCTTGGACTGGCCAGCACGATCCCCGGATCTTAACCCGATCGAAAACCTGTGGGGAATCCTTGTCAGGGATGCTTACAAACATAAGAGACAATTTACGACCGTTTCGGAACTAAAAGCATCAATTGAGATTGCCTGGAATCGTATTGACGCCACGGCTCTCCAAAACCTTATCAAAAGTATGAATAAGCGAATCTATCAAGTTATTAACCGGTCCGGTGCTATATCAGATTATTAGTTGTTATGTTCACAATTCTTGACGTCTTTTTATTTGTTGTTAATGCTAAATAAATGTTGATTTTCAAAGTTCCTAAGGGTGGATAAAGAAATGTGAAACGGTCGCAGAATCTTCTTTCTTAGTTTTTTTTATGTTGAGAAAATCCAGTAACCCAAAAACGGTGTTTTTAGGGTTTTACAATATGGTCTTTCTATTGCAAAAGAAAATAGCTCGATATCTCCACCCATTCTCCATAAAACCTCTTTTTGGGGGGTGGATAAAGAAATATGAAACGGACTGTATACTTTAAAATTGTCACTTGACCCGCCACAGTTGCCGAGTTTACATTTTTACGTTTCTCATTTGAATAAAACGTTTCAATCAAGTTGGTTGAGAGATATTGTAATGATAAAGATTACTTACCGTAAATACTGTAATAGTACCCCCTCGTACAGTCGCGTAGTCGCAAAAGTTTTTTAGTATTTCATTTTTTTTCAAAGCGCCCGTACTTTCAAAAAATGCGTCTTTGGTATCAAAAAATAGCTGAAATTCAGGGCTATTTTTTGATAATTGTATTGCTATTATAGCATAAGCCAGTGTCGAGAAAAACTCGTTCAAAGCTAGACTACGCAACACTCCGCACCTTTTTTCACTTTTTTCAAAGCACCCGTACTTTCAAAAAATGCGTCTTTGGTATCAAAAAATAGCCCTGAATTTCAGCTATTTTTTGATATCTAAGCGCGCATTGTAGCATAAACCAGTGTCGAGAAAAACTCGTTCAAAGCTAGACTACACAACACTCCGCACCGTCATTATGGGGGTGTGGTACTATTACAGTATTTACGGTAGGTTATTCATAATCAAAAGAAATAAAAGAAAAACTTCATAGAAGAAAGGTAATGCTAAAAAAAGCCAGAAAAGCTACGTTTATACTTGTTTGGATTGGCTAAATTGATTTGGAAAATTGAAGCTTTTCTTTTTTCTATTTGATGTTAGTACACGTCTTAGTATTCAGATATGGAACATTTTTCTAATTAAAACATTCTATTAAATCCATGATCGAATGATGATTGAATAAAAAGTGCTGAAATAAATGATATTATGACAATGAAAGCCAATGCAAATTAAGTTACTTTCTCTGAAACAAAGCTCGAATCGCCGTAGACAAACATTTCAGTTCAGCAAAAGCTGTTAAGCAAGGCTACAATGCTCGCTTAGGTGTCAAAAAATAGCTGAAATTCAGGACTATTTTTTGATATCTAAGCGCACATTGTAGCATAAACCAGTGTCGAGAAAAACTCGTTCAAAAGCTAGACTACGCAGCGCTCCGCACCGTCATTATGGGGGTGGGGTACTATTACAGTATTTACGATTAGTACTACGTAAGCCTTAAAAACTCACGTATTGTAAAATATTAAATCTGGTCTCCAAACATCCGATATCATCACTTTCGCATATTCAGATGAATACATAGAAAAGTTGTCGGCATCCCAGCCCAGATTCGGATCCATCCACATCTAAAGGCTAGGAATTTAGAATTTAGAATCGAATTTGAATCTAACAAGGGAAAAACACGAACTTTTGTCTTTAATCTGGAAAAAAGGTGAGCTTTTGTCTGAACTTTATAGAATCGCGTATGAGAAATCCGAATCAGAAATCAAAATCTGCTAAATGACTTTCCAAGTGGAAGTTCAATCGAATTGGCATCAAAATGGATGCTTTAAAGGCTCTTGCCTGGCGGGCAAAAGCTACGTTGGTGGCCTAGTGGATAACGCACTAGATTTCCGCCTATAGGATCCGCCTCCCAGGAATAATTCGACCCCTGATGCTACCTTCTGTTTTTATTTTTCTTTTGGAGCAACTTCTAGCATCTTGCAGCTATTTGCATTATGGCGGCTAGCAAAATAGTGCAAAATAGTACAAAAGCTCATCTTGAGTTCGTGCTTTTCCCTAGTAATTTGTGCCAAATCTTTAAGAAAGAGCCAACTGACCATCAAAAACTCGGCAAAAGCTACGTTAAGCTCAGGCTTAGGCTTAGGCTTAGGCTTGGACTTCGTGCGAAGGCTAGCGGCTAGCGCCTCGCACTAAGTCTATTTGGGTTTGGGCTGAACCCCCATTTTTTGGATCTCAGCCGGTTCTCGGAGCTACGGGTGTCCGTTTGGCGGTGTGCTTTGGAACCCAATGGGAGTATGTTGACAAAATTTCAGGTTAGGCTTAGGCTTAGGCTCAGTACAAAAGCTCATCTTGAGTTCGTGCTTTTCCCTAGTAATTTGTGCCAAATCTTTAAGAAAGAGCCAACTGACCATCAAAAACTCATTCTGGAATTGAATCGTTTCCTCTTTTTGATCCTAAAATTTATGTGCTATTTGTAAAAATCTAAACCTTACCATTGAAAGTAATCGAAAAGAATTCAACGTGATATTCACTAATAGAGCCACACCAGAAGGCATTGGAAATTGTCCGTTATTGTACTTTATCGGACTGAGCATTTCTTGAATGAGCACTTGCTCCAGGGGAATCATCAAAGTTTTGACTCTGAAGCGGACAAGTAGTGAAAATGAAAGAAAATCTTTTCTCTTAACATTTTCCTCTTAAAAAATGCACTTTCTAAAACGTGCTACAGTAATTTTGGCTACCGTAATCTTAGCTATAAATAATAGGGCATAAAATGATTAGCTTAAATGAATAGATTGACTAAAGCTGAAGCTAAGATTACGGTAGCTTTCGACACATTTTATTGGGTTTTCCAGTTATGAATGCGCGTTTTTACTATTTTGTAAATTTCTCAAGATATCGAACAGATGTATATGAGTGTTATATATCATTCGAGAGCTGAAGATTTCCTCTACATGTTGGAATAAAAAAGTTTTTGAATTCATGCAACTTTTTGGGAAATTGACTGCACAAAGGGAGAGGTCGCTTTCGAAAAAACCCACTCCAGCTTAGCTATTCCTCAAGTTTTATGGTGTAAAATAACCGCCCAGAAAAGAAAAGAAAAGTAAAGATGCTCTGAAATTGTTATATTTAAAAACAAGTTGTATTGATATATCTATTGGCCAAACATCAAACGGTTAACTCAATTTGAGCGGAGTCAAAACTTGATCCAAAGGCACCCTTCCATTTTTTTTGGCTACCCCTTCTTCTGTGCAGTCAATTTGCCCAAAAGCTGAACAAATTCAAAAACTTTTTATATCAAAATGTAGAGGAGATCTTCAGCTTTCGAATAATACTCATATATATATCTTTTTCTTGATTTCGGTATCTGGAGAAATTTACAAAATAGTGAGAAACGCGCATTCATAACTGGACAACCCAATAGATTTACCTAATTCAGCCAATCGTTCCGCACCGTCCGTCCAGTTCAGTCTATTCTGTGATCAATTTATGCGAATAAAAACTGAAACCCTTAACGCGAATTTTTTTCATTTCTCCATTCAAAAATTCAGAACATGAGTTAAAACGAAATTTGAGAAGCCGAAATTTCTTTGCAAATATGAGTTTCGATCTTTTTTCCTTTTTTCGTGGAAATGATGCCATTTCAAAATTTCTCAGGGTCAAAATAGAAACTTTCTGCCAACAAAGATCATCAAAAAGGAAATGTTTTTGAGTTTATTTTTAAATACAACATGTAGTTAGACATGTCAGCAATCCATAAAGCCAAACCAACTATATTAAAGCCATCTATATTAAAGTAAAAGGTATCATTCAAAAGCAAAGCTCAATAAAATACGCTAAAGTTTATTAAAACGTTAACAAAAGTGGAAAAGAGCACAATCGGTTCAAGTCGAATAAGGTTTGAGTACCGTATTTTTCCTCAATAATTCCTCAATAATAGTGCACCTTTAGCTTCGTCTAAATTGCTAGAAATCTCGAGAACCGCTTAACAGAATCTATCGATGTGGGGTCGGAAAATGTAGCTGACGATGAGATCTTGTGGGGGATTTGAGTGTTGAGCTTCTGGGAAAACTTAGGAACCGTAAAATAGGCATCAATTCGGCTTGGCGGGGTGCACTACTATTAGAGACTATTATACGGCACTTGAAAACTATAATAGTAAGCAAAAGCTATTGTGATTGTGGTACCTTGTCAGTTTTACTCTGGAACCTGTAAGTATTTTAGGGTTTCAGTAAAGCCAGTCCAGGCAAGTTTAGGAAAATCGGCTTTTGCCTGGTCTGACTCTGACTTTGCCTAAACTAGTCTGGTCCAGAAAAATGCTCTTGGAACAACCTGTATAAGAAATTCCTTTCAAGATATTTAAGTTTTAAGCTACCAAATGAAATATAGTTTTTTCATTAGATACCGTATTCTCTAATAGTAGTGCACGCTGAGCGTCGCCTAAATTGCTAGAAATCTCGAGAACCGCTTATCAGAACCTATCGATTTGGGGTTGGAAAATGTAGCTGACGATGAGATCTTGTTGGGGATTAGAGTGTTGAGCTTCTGGGAAAACTTGAAAACCGTAAAATAGTCATCAACTCGGCTTGGTGGGGTGCACTACTTTTAGGGAAAATACGGTGTTCACTAGACTTGTAACGAAAACATCTGTCGGTCCTTTTTTGTCGTTAGCAACCTAAGGTTCCTTGTGTTTTTCTGAGCACCAACCCTTCGATTTTGACTATCATTCGATGCAGAATGAAATTGTGCGTCGAATGATACCAAAAAATAACTCAAAATATAATATCCACGCAAAGTTATGAGGTAAAAGGTCAAGTCCCGCCCATAATGGGGTTTGAGCCAATAACTTTGCATGGATATTACATTTTGAGTTAATTTTTGGTATCATTCGACGCCCAATTTCATTCTACATCGAATGATAGTTAAAATAGTCAAAATCGAAGGGTTGGTGCTGACCTGCCCAGTGAAATCAGGGACCTACAAGTCCATAACTTTCAACCAGTTAAATCTGAATTCTAATTGGTAGAATCAATAAAATGAATAACGCCAATCGATTCTCCGACCCCGAAAACCCCAATTAAAAATCTACAGCTGAATATCTTCGTTTTGTGTCATTTACAAAGCAAAAGAAAAAATGCCTATGATCATGAAGGTGTTCATTGCGCGTTCGTTTCATTGTAATCGCTCTCTATCTGGCAAACCCCTTCCGTATAAAGTGCTTGCCTTTTTGAATCTTTAAAAGGGAAGTAGCGGTGAGCGACTGAGTTTTTCCTGCATTCTGGGCATCACCATATACAAATTCTTGGGATCAAATTTTTCCCTTGAATTTGGCTGTATCCTTGCTATCAATTCTACATTCCATTAAACCATTGTGACACTTAAACAGCAGCTAAACTTGGCAGAACAATGCTATCTGATTTGAGCGCTCTGTCTCCGCACTTAATCACTCCCCATCTGGCAAACCCCTTCGGTATAAAGTGCTTCCCTTTTTAAATCTTCAAAACCGAAGTAGCGCTGAGCAACTAAACTTTTCCGTTTTGCTCCCGTTTTTCTTAGGCTTTTGATCCAATCATATTTTATTTTATGTCATTTGCAAGTCTGATATTTCTTCTTTAAAACTTTAAAGCCTAATTTTCCCTAAATTCTATATTCCATTAAACTATTGTGACACTTAAACGGCAGCTAAGAACAATGCGATCTGACTTGAGCTCTTGTTTTTCCTAGGATTGTGTGATTTCCTCAAATTCTAATCACTTGTTTGAACAAAATGAAAACTTTTTGACTTCTTTAAACGTTTTTATAAAGGTGTTTCTTGTTTGTTTTCACAGATTTAGATAAAATTTATTCCATTCAATAAGTGTCATCTCATAAACATGGCGGCTATGATGATATTGCCTGACTGAAAGAAGTTGTTGAAGGGTTGGTGCTGACCTGCCCAGTGAAATCAGGGATGAACCTACAAGTCCATAACTTTCAACCAGTTAAACCTGTATTCTAATTGGTAGAATCAATAAAATGAATAACGCGAATCGATTCTCCGACCCCGAAAACCCCCTACGCCTATGAAAAAGTGCATATGTAAATGATCATGGAGGTGTTCATTGCGCGTTCGTTTCATTGTAATCGCTCTCTATCTGATAAACCCCTTCCGTATAAAGTGCTTGCCTTTTGAATCTTTAAAAGGGAAGTAGCGGTGAGCGACTGAGTTTTTCCTGCATTCTGGGCATCACCATGTACAAATTCTTGGGATCAAATTTTTCCCTTGAATTTGGCTGTATCCTTGCTATCAATTCTACATTCCATTAAACCATTGTGACCATTGTACTTAAATTCTAATCATTCGTTTGAACAAAATGTAAACTTTTTGACTTCTTTAAACGTTTTTACAATTGTTGTAAGTGTTTAGTGTAAGTGTTACAGTGTTTCTTGTTTGTTTTCAAAGATTTAGATACAATTTATTCCATTCAATAAGTGTCATCTCATAAACATGGCGGCTATGATGATATTGCCTGACTGAAAGAAGTTTTTGAAAAGCTTTTCGAATGGTAAACCAACTTGAAATATAAACAAAAATATGATGTCCAATCGGTCAAATATTTTCGTCCATAAAAGTTTCCATTCCTCTTCAGCGTGTTGTCGAGAAATGAATGATCGAACGAGGTGTAAACTCTGGAAAAGAGTTTTGAACTTGAAAAAGGTTTAACTCTAATAGAATCCCTTAATTTTATGTTACTTGATATAATTGTTTCCTTGCTTTGAAAGCTTCAATGGAACCAATTTCGAATTCATTATTTTGTAGCGCCGGAATCAAGCGTGGAGGATCGGGCAACGCTGAAGGATTCGTCTTCCCTGAAGTGCACGAGAGACGCAGAAATCGGCAAAAACTAAAGATCTATTTGCCATTACATTTATTCACATAAATAATGTGGTAAAAACAATACACAAGCACAACTCTTAAGCCTTAAATGTAGGAAAGAAAAAGAAAAAAATTCTATGTAAAAGAGAACCAATAATCTAGCCGTGGAATCGAACCCTTGACCTCCCGACTATGATAAAGGACTCTTATCCAGTCGGCCATGGGGGACTGGGGAAGGGGCATGAAATTTGCTGTCAAAAGGGAAGCAGCGACTAAAGTTAGCGATACCAAGACCATATTTAAGTAAATAAAAGGACTAAACTTGATCTAAAGAACTTTCAGCGTTGATAAAATTTATTATTCCTTTGCTGGCGGGTTTAGCTTCTTTTCAAACCCTCACAAGTCTGGTGGTCTCCAATTTCTTTGATCTGCTCGTGCGTGAATCTCCAGCAACGTAATTGAAACGACTGTGCCAATGGAGCAAATGAAAATCTCAGCAACAATATAGTTTCCTGAAGGAATTGATGATTTGAAATCAAGATCTAGTCAAAGAAATGTGGTTTGGTAGATCCTTACTTACTGAATGATTGATTCAATCAATCATAGATGAATCAACATCTACAGAGTCTTCAATCATTGCCCGGACTCGGTATTTTAAGTTTAACTCAAGACTCAGATATGCAATCATCTCATGCTTTGTTTTAATAGAAAATTTAAGTATTTTTCTACAATGGATTCTTAGGTCTGAGAAAAATACTTTTTCTATCTTTTTTTATAGAAACTCAAAGTTGGTTTGGTTGGTTGAGTTGCTTGGCGCGGCACTTGCTGTTGGCGGCTTTTCAGAAAACGCCAAAGATTGAGCATATCTTTAAAGGCTTTTGTTTTTGCAATACGTTTTAAACATTATTAAACAAATCGGAAGGTAAAGTGACACTCAATTAGGTAAAAATTTGTTATTTCTTGGTTTCACTTGGACCTAAGCGTTGGCTTTTCAAAAGATGACCCTGCAAAATGAAATTTTTCATTTTTCAGTTTCTGTTAAATGTGAGTCTTTAATCTTTAGGTAAATGTAACCAAATAAAAAAGAGATAGGAAACCAAATTTAAAGGGATAGGGAACCAAATTTAAAGAGATGAAGAACCAAACTTGTAGAGATAGGGAACTAAATTTAAAGAAATAGAAACTTAATTTAGTGCTGAAACGTTCGTAATACCAAAATTTTTTTGTTAAATCCTTTAAAAACAAGTGTCGCGCCAAGCAACTCCACTGCCAACTTTGAGATTCGATAAAAAAGGCAGAAAGAGTTTTTTTCGTCAAATCTAAGAATGCATCGTAGAAAAATATTTAAATTTTCGGGAGTGGGACAAATGCGACCTTTTTTTGCGCACCCGGACATTTGCGCACCTTTTTTTCCGCACCTTGCCCATTAGGCACCTTTTTTCGCGTTTTAAAAAGCTCTAAAAAGCTAATATTAACCAATTTCTATTCCAAAAGTTGTTTTTCTAGGTAATTTTAGGGCGTAGAATCGAAATTTTGACATAACAGAGCATGTGGAACCAATTTGAAAGACAAAACGGCTAGATCAAATTACAGAAAGTTGTCGATTTTTCTCTTTGTATAACTCCGTCCGTTTGTTTCCACATGCTCTGTTATGTCAAAATTTCGATTCTACGCCCTAAAATTACCTAGAAAAACAACTTTTGGAATAGAAATTGGTTAATATTAGCTTTTAGAGCTTTTTTAAAACGCGAAAAAAGGTGCGCTAATGGGCAAGGTGCGAAAAAAAAGGTGCGCAAATGTCCGGGTGCGCAAAAAAAAGGTCGCATTTGTCCCACCCCCAAATTTTCTCTTAAAGCGTGAGATGATTGCACATCTAAGTGCTGAGTTTCACTTAAAATAATGAATCCGGGTAACTCAATTGAACTCAATTCGTTGGCATTCGTTGGCATCCAGATACCAGATTTGGTTCAAGATTTTCATGGACTCAGTCCTTGAATTCAGGCATTGAGATCGCCAATAACATGTTCAATCCGAGTTCTGCCTTTTGAGAATTTAATCTAGTACTATTGATACAGTTTAGTACCATTAATCCGACTTAGGTCTATTGATAAATCGAGTCTCTGAACAATTACGAACTAATTCTTTCACCTCACCCAACAATGGCAATCGTTCAACTTTCGGCATCATTGACGAGAGCAAATTCAAGAGCATTGAGATCGCCAATAACATGTTCAATCCGAGTTCTGCACTTTGAGAATTTAAGGAAAACTTTAAAATGGATCACCGACTCGTTGCCATCTTTCCATTCGTTGACTGAATGGGGTGAACATGCCGAGAATCGTCAACACACCGACGATCAGCGTTGGGATCTGGAATTGTGATTTGTTTGAAATCTTGAAGTGACTTTTAAACCTGAATGATCATCACATAATAAACGGGTTTGCGCTCAAGGTGAAGGTTGAAATAGATGAGGGAATAGTTCCAGTCACCGGCTGGTTGAATGTAAATCTAAGAATGAGATTCGGGTCGTTTTAACGAGGCTAATTTGTTCTAAAAAGCACCTAAAACTACCATAATCAATCATAATGTTGGCTTCCAATAGTTTTCCAAAGCTTTTCAGAATCGAAAATGAAAATGAAGCTCAAAATTCTAACATTTAGACCAAAAGGTGGACTGAACCAGTGAACCAGTGAATATTTTTTTCAGAAATGGACATTCGAAAGTTGAAAGAGGGTGAGGTGATGTGCTTTAAGAAGAAAAATTGGGGAGTAAATCGAAGAAAAAACATCTCATTCTTTTCTCGAATTCTCGGATTCTAGTGGTGCGATGAAAAGGTTGGTTTCATTATTAAAACTTTTGCAATTATAGACTTTAGAATTAGGTCTGATTGAGCCAGCATGATTTTTACTAAATTTGAAGCTTTTCTTGGACGTGGACGTGGACAAGACTTTTCTTGGACGTGGACCTGGACAAGACATTTCTTGGACGTGGACGTGGACAAGACTTTTCTTGGACGTGGACGTGGACAAGACTTTTCTTCGACGTGGACGTGGACAAGAATTTTCTTGGACGTGGACGTGGACAAGACTTTTCTTCGACGTGGACGTGGACAAGAATTTTCTTGGACGTGGACGTGGACAAGACTTTTCTTGGACGAGCCTTTAATAGATCAATCCTCTTAGCTTCTTAAAATCATAATATTTCTTTCATATTTACTTACTTTTCATACTAAATTAAAAATCGAGTACAAGCTACAAGAATTAATCAGCTATCAAATCAAATCCCTGACTTCACCAATGAAGTTCACTTGGCCTCTATCAAAATAATATTAAGCTGTTCAGAAATTCTTTTCGTTCCATTTCATACTTTCGTTTAAAACCAACAAATACACTAATTGAACTACGGGTTGTTTCATAAAAAAAACCAATTATTTTTCTACAAAATAACATTAAAATGGGTTTAAAATGTCTTATTTCCGCATTTTTTAGGAGCGTGAAGTCAGAAAGTCAAAAAGGGCTCGAAGAAGATTTAGACACTTTAGAAGAAGGAAACCTATCTTTGTGTCAATAGATAAAGGATAGAGCATAAAAAGTTTGGTATATAGCTAAATTTTCAGAAAAATTCATTTAGCCAATTTCTTCATAGAGGTTTTTATAGATTTTTATGAAAAACAGGCTTTCACTGCTTGAAAGTGAACCAAAATTGACTTAAAAAGATGGGAAATTGAACAATAAACGTTTATTTAGAGCAAAATATACCGTAAATACTGTAATAGTACCCCACCCCCCTCGTACAGTCGCGTAGTCGCAAGAGTTTTTTAGTATTTCATTTTTTTCAAAGCGCCCGTACTTTCAAAAAATGCGTCTTTGGTATCAAAAAATAGCCCTGAATTTCAGCTATTTTTTGATACCTAAGCACGCATTGTAGCATAAACCAGTGTCGAGAAAAACGCGTTCAAAGCTAGACTACGCAACACTCCGCACCGTCATTATGGGGGTGGGGGTACAGTATTTACGGTAAGGGAATTTGTTTATTTTTTGAAACGAAAACGAGTAGGAAAAGGAGTGAAAAGACTTTCTGGATAGCTTAACATTAACTCACCTCCCGTTTCTCATATGCATCGATTTTGATTAGTTGCCATTCGGAATTCCCGAAATAAGAGATTACACCAGAATTCTAAAAGTCTTCATTTTATTATACTAACTTTTGAATCACCTCTCCAGCTAGTACACCTAAATCCGCCTCAAATTCAGTGGCAGTTGGGTGGAGTTGGATTAAATTGTCATCGTAAGTCCAAGAGCCCAACATCAAGACGCATTTCTTAAATTATATTGTAATATTTTCTATTGAATTACACTTTTTCGTGGTAAAACTGTGATAAAACTGAAGTACAGTAGCGCTCAAAATGATTTAGACGATGGTATTTGATGGTAAATGATGTAGAGATGTGAGAATGAATGTGCAAATGTCAGAACCTAAATGCATTTAGTCTACTAAATCGAATTTTTAAGTGTTCTAAAGTGTCTATAAACAGTAAGAAGCTATATGGGACTTCTAGAAATGGCAAAAGATGATCAAAATTGGCTTTCAGCTACGAAAAATCCGAAATTTTTAAAATCAAAATCGTTTGCCTGGCGAAAGCTTGCCAGCTGAGCCTCCAAGAAGCCAGCTGAGCCTCCAAGAAGCCAGCTGAGCCTCCAAGAAGCCAGCTGAGCCTCCAAGAAGCCAGCTGAGCCTCCAAGAAGCCAGCTGAGCCTCCAAGAAGCCAGCTGAGCCTCCAAGAAGCCAGCTGAGCCTCCAAGAAGCCAGCTGAGCCTCCAAGAAGCCAGCTGAGCCTCCAAGAAGCCAGCTGAGCCTCCAGCCCCTAGACAGAGGATAAAGCACGCCTCTTTTCTTTTCTCTTTGTGAGATATGTGAGATATCATACTCAAAAACAAAGTTGTACCTAGATTAGCTTCTAGATAAGCCTGAGAGCTCCATTATGACCATTTTTGAAATGATTAGATTGATTTTGGAACTTAAAACATTAAAAAACTATTACTTTTAAAACTTTTTTTTGAACTTTTTTGAGAAGCTGTGCACGCGCGCGCCGGGCCATAATCTTTTTGAAAAACACTTTTTAGGCTAAAAAAATACATGGAGAATCCGAATTTGTGATCAGATTTGCTCAAAAATGCATAGTTAAAAAGATGAACTTCCACCGAACTCAGGAGACTCAAAAATTTATGGTAACCAATAGATAAAAGCTTTTAGGCTTATAATATTAGAAAATGATCAAGGTAAAACTTTGTTTTCTGAGTGTAAGTCGACATCTGACAAAGAGAAAAATATATAATAAATCATTTTGAGCGCGACTGTATTATGATAACTCACTTGTCGATCATATGGGAAATCCGCTAGATGGAGTTCACATGGAAGCGTTCGCTAAAACGTTTTCTTGTTTCGTAAATGCTCAAAATCAGCATTGTTTTATGGAATTTTGTGCAAATTCAAGAAATTTTACTTAACCTTATCAAAAAGTAGCAAAACGTAGCTCGGTTTTTTTATAACTACTTCAAAAAAAGTTAAGCAAGCTAATTGGAATCGGATCATCTGGAGGAATCGGATGATCTTGAGGAATCGGATCATCTAGAGGAATCGGATCATCTGGAGGAATCGGATCATCTGGAGGAATCGGATCATCTGGAGGAATCGGATCATCTGGAGGAATCGGATCATCTGGAGGAATCGGATGATCTTGAGGAATCGGATGATCTTGAGGAATCGGATCATCTAGAGGAATCGGATCATCTTGAGGAATCGGATCATCTGGAGGAATCGGATCATCTAGAGGAATCGAATCATCTGGAGGAATCGGATCATCTTGAGGAGTCGGATCATCTAGAGAAATCGGATCATCTAGAGGAATCGGATCGGTTGCGGTTGACAAACAATGGGTGGATGACTAACAACTGGCGCCGGTTGAAGACTTTTGGCAATGGCTGGAGGGTGTATGATGGGCATTGGAATGGCAAAATATCCTCATGCACATGTCGGGGAATCAAAGGACGTTCTTGTCGGAGAGAATTGCTGATGCAATTCAGCTAAGCAAGCTAAGCTTTAAAACCCAAGAGGCAGGCTAAGGATTTGATTTGATAGCTGATTAATTCTTGTAACTTGTACTCTATTTCTAATTTCCTAAGAAATAGTATGATTTTAAGGATTGATCTAGAAAAGTTATCAAACAGTAAACCCACAGTAGCCGTCATTGAGGCTCTCACCCATCCATCATATCTCACATTGACAAATGTCCACTCATCAAGCAACACTTTTTCTTGATCAATTCTAAATAACTTTAGAAACTAAATAAAATTTTAAGTTCATTTACGTATTGTAATAAATAAGATCCGGTATCCAGACTTGTTTATACGGGACATTCACAAAATCAGCCAGGTAATCGGGGAAATCTTTCTTATCCCACCCGAGATTTGGATCGAACCACATCTAAATTCAAAGCCCAGTTAGGATTTCAAGATTCAGTAATAGTTTTTAGCAAGTTAGAAGTTTCAAAACCAATCTAATCACTACAAAAAGCACAAACCGCAATGAATTCATCTTGAAAAACGATTGTTTCTTCTTGTTGATCCTGAAAAAAGATAAAATATCAGTTTTATTTAGTTATTGGAGCTTTTTTAAAAGGTGGGCAATTTGGAAAGCTACCGTAATCCTCTTTAGATTTGATTCTGACTAATTCTGACTTTAGAATTTGGAAAACTACCGTAATCCCGACTAATTCTGATTCATTTGATAAGAAACTGTGAGTCGAATGCGCGCAAAACTACGTAGAATAGAGAAAATCTTGAGGAAAGGTTACGGCAGTTTCCCAAATGATCGACCATTTAGAAAACGAATAAGAATAAGAACAAAAGCTTCCTAGCTTAAAACATCTTCAAAAACTCACCAGTGAAACAAGCCTCAACGCGTTGAGTGTAATATTGATCCGTAGTGCTTTTCCCCATTCAATCGATGGCACCAATGGATCGTAATATAGTGGATTCATCATATAATTCAAAATCTGTTGCTCTTGTGGAATCATTTTGATGTTTTTTTAAAAGACTTTTAAAAGTCCTTTTCTTCACTTTCTTAAATTTCGTTTCTTTGGTTCCCAGTGATGTTTGCTGAAGTAATGTGAGCTCGCTTGAATGTTCACCAAAAAAAATGTCTTTGCAATAAGAACTTTGATGAAAGATGAGTTTATTGATAACAATTATCGCATGAACATTGCTGAACAAATTATGTTTGCAACTTGAAATAGAACAAGGAATATAATATCAAGACGGTCAAAGATTCGAGTCCATAAAAGTCGCCACTCTTCCTCGACGTGGCCACGATCCATATAGGAACGAACGAGGTGTAGAGTCTAAAATGATCTAATAACTGTTGTAAGAAATATATTTCTACTTTGATCTTTATAATTTCTTGTGAGATCGTGTCTCGGTGTGGTTCAATGGTAGAGGTCTTGGTGTTCAATGGTAGAGGTTTAATGGTAGAGGTCTTGGTGTTCAATGGTAGAGGATCAATGGTAGAGGTCTTGGTGTTCAATGGTAGAGGATCAATGGTAGAGGTCTTGGTGTTCAATGGTAGAGGTTTAATGGTAGAGGTCTTGGTGTTCAATGGTAGAGGATCAATGGTAGAGGTCTTGGTGTTCAATGGTAGAGGTTTAATGGTAGAGGTCTTGGTGTTCAATGGTAGAGGATCAATGGTAGAGAGTTCAAAGGTCTTGAAAACGCACAATTTATCAAAACTTTCCCTTATCAAGGCAAACTTCGCTCAAACTGGAGCAACCTGGCACTATCACAATTACTTCAACACTTTGGTGTGAAAAAGGATGAATAGAAAAGGGAGCACGCAACTGACTCAAAAACTAAGCTTAAATAATGGGTTTTTAAGTAAATAAGCTACGACAAACGGACAACTGAATATCGTCTGTTGACGATATTGATTACGATAGTTTATGGTGGTTGATTACGGTTGATTACGGTTGGTTTATGGTGGTTGATTACGGCAGTTTATCCATCAACTTTGCTTTTTAACTTGTGTATTGAATTTTGACTAACTGCAGAGCAGTGGAAATTCGCCACACTAGTAAACCAATGATTTTTGAATAACTTTCTGAACTTTTGAGTAGAGAATGATCTTCAAAGAGAAAAAAAGGTGTTTTTTCAGCCGTTTTCATGTTAAATTTGAATTTCTGTCGCAAATTTTAAATGTTAATTTTTGCGCAACGTCGCATTCCAATTAACGTCACCGCCATTTGAAGGTAGTCGATGGGAGCGCCGCGTCGTCGTTTCTTTTTCGTTTTCAAATCATTTGTTTTTGTCAGATTAATTGAAAGTATTAGACAAAAATCAAATAAAATAGAGACAAACGGACATCAAATTTGAAATCTTTGACCATTTTTACCTTAAGAATGCTTTTTCTTAAAAAGATCTTTTGTTTCGAAAATCTGTTTTTGGCTACGACTACTTGCGGAACTCATTACTTGTTTACTTACTTGCTCATTTACTTACTCATTTACTTGCTTTTGGGTCGCTAATTGATTTCAAAAGATGAAAAAAACCGAAATAAAATAAACTTTTTTAAATATTAGAAAAAAGGAAACATTTCCCTTTAAAACTAGCCGTTTTACGGTCAGATTGGTTAAGAGCTCGTTATTTTTAAACATCAAGTCAAAATTTTCGCGCTCAAAAGGACCAGAAGGTCAAAGAAGTCAGTGGGCAATTTAGCAAAAAAAGAATGATTTTCAAAACAAAAATCTTTTTATGAAGAAGCATTTTTAAGGTAAAAATAGTCAAAATTTTCAAATTTGAAGTCGGTTTTTCTCTAACTTTTTTGGTTCGAGCCGTACAAATGATTCTTAGAAAGGGAACAGAACTTTTCACGCACTATTTAGAATTCAAAGCTTTCAGGATTCAATAAAGTAGACAAGTAGAGCATCGAGAACTGAGATTGAGTTTCATATGGATTTCAGTAGACTAATTGAGTCGAGTATTAGACTCAATATTGTTAAATTTTTGTTTGGCATTGCTCAATGAACCTGGTACTTGTTCAGAATAGGATTTTGTCTAGGGATTTGTACCAGACCAGATCAACCAGAATCTTCTCGACAAGAGAAAAGAATTAATTGACAAAGTCTAAAGATTAACAATGACTTTTTTTCAGAGCTAGATTTGAGATTGACTCAAATCCGAACAGTCAGCCAGGTCTAGTCAGCCAGGTCTAGCCAGCCAGGTCCAGCCAGCCAGGTCTAGCCAGCCAGTCAGTACCGATTTAATAAACAAATCGGCTTAGCTAACAAATCTGGTGCTTCTACTTCCCTACTACTGTATAAAGCTAATGTTAAAAGTATAACCTGTGATAATTGATTCTTGACAACATTCAATTTGTGTTGATCTTCGGTTTCTTTCTCGGTTGGTGGCTTGATGGGTAGAAGTCGCGGAGGATCCGGCAAGGCGACTGGGGAGGATCTTTTTCGACAAGAGAAAAGAATTAATCGACAAAGTCTAAAAATTAACAATGATTTTATTTACATGGCAATCTTCTATTAAAAAAAACACTCACAAATCTGGTGGTCTCCAATTTCTTTGATCTGCTCTTGAGTGCAGCTCTAATATGCAAATCGAAACGATGATTCCAACGGAGCAGATAAATATCTCAGCTATGATGTAGTTGCCTAAAAGTTGGTTATTCTTCTATAACCTTTTTGTAACCTAATAAAGGTAATCGTTCAGCTTTGGGCATCATACTCGAGACAAGATTCAACATCATTGAAATAGCCAATAACATGTTCAGTCCGAGTTCAACCTCAAGAGAATGAGCTTTATCTTTTTTTTTAAATTTTCCTAAATTCAACCTTTTGCCATCTTTCCATCCGTTGACTAAATGGAGTAAACATTCCAAAGATTGTAATCGTTCCAATGATTAATGTCGGTGCCTGAAACAATCCTGTTTTTTCTCCTGTTCTAATACTGTAGTCTTCAAAAATATGTAAAAAGCCGCACAAAATTTGACCTACAACCCCTACTAAGGAAAGGCATGGAGACAAGGTGGCTTTTTGAACGGGACCTAGCTCATATTGTGCAGTTTTCCATGGGGGCGCTGGTGATGCTTTTAGTTTTGCCAAAGGAGCTCTATAACGCAAGTTATTTAGCAAAAACGTTTTGACATACCTTCTTAGTAAGAAGGTATGCGTTTTCTTACTAAGAAGTTCTTAAGCCATCTATCGGCAAGTTGGCCGATCCCGCGGCGGTACCACTTTTAAAAAATTGTTCAAACTTAAAGAGAAAAAAAATAGAAAACTTTTGGATCACCGCCGCGGGATAGGCCAACTTGCCGATAGATGGCTTCAAGTTATAGATTCAAATGGTCTTTATTTCGAAACTTAGAGTTCGGCCATTGTTGTTTTATTTACGTTGAAAGTTTTAATTAAAAAAAATAGAAAACTTTTGGATCACCCTAATAGTTTTTCCAAAGGAGCTCTGCGAAATAATTGTAATGCAAGTTATTTCGCAAAAACTTCCAGTTTCATATTTGAGGCGCGCGCACGCCAGATCAAGAAGTAGTGTAATGGATAGAAGGCCTGTATCAGAATCAAAAAATGTTCCTCTTTGCCCGGGTTCAATTCCGGTCACACAAAGTTTTTCTTTTTACTTTTGTTTTGATGTAAGAACTTCTTAGTAAGAAAACGCATACCTACTTACTAAGAAGGTATGCCAAAACGTTTTTGCTAAATAACTTGCGTTATAGAGGCTTTGGCAAAACTAAAAGCATCACCAGATTCCCCATGGAAAACTGCACAATATGAGCTAGGTTCCGTTCAAAAAAGTCACCTTGTCTCCATGCCTTTTCCTATTCAGTAGTAAGAAGGTATGCGTTTTCTTCCTAAGAAGTTCTTACATCAAAACAAAAGTAAAAAGAAAAACTTTGTGTGACCGGAATTGAACCCGGGCAAAGAAGAACATCTTTTGATTCTGATACAGGCCTATCCATTACACTACTTCTTGATCTGGCGTGCGCGCACCGCCTCAAATATGAAACTTGACGTTTGTTCCAAATAACTCGCGTTATAGAGCTCCTTTGGCAAAACTAAAAGCATCATCAAATTCCCCATGGAAAGCTGTACAATATGAGCTAGGTTCCGTTCAAAAAAGTCACCTTGTTTCCATGCCTTTTCCTATTCAGTCCTGATTTCTCATGTTTATTAGACATGTGCATTTTCGGTCCGTTTGTCGATAGGTGTACAACGGAAATTCACGCCGCCCTTTAAAATCAACCTTTTCAAACGTTTTTTTACCGTTAGATAGTATTTGATTGATTGATTTTACAAGCTGTATCTAATGGTGAAAAAAAAATGTTTAAAAAAGTCGATTTTAAAGGGCTCAAGACATGAATTTCCGCTTTACACCTATCGACGAACGGACCGAAAATGCGTATGTCTAATGTTTTTCTAGTGCTGATTTTTAAGGCACGAGTCTAACTCAGTTAAACTCTAACTCAGTTTAACCCAAGCTTTCTATTAAAATCTCGGAAATTTTCCGAACATGTAGCTTCAATACAAAACTAAAAATAGAATCGAGCAAGAATAACTTGAATTTGTTGAACTTGTTTGTACAATTCAGCACATTCAGAACTTCAATTCAGCTCTTACTTGAATAACCATCACATAGTAAACCGGTTTTCGTTTCAGATGAACTGTGTAGAGGATTAATGAGTAATTTCCATCATCTTCAATGTACTGGAAATTTGAAAATATGTTAATAGAAGACTGCTTTCACCATAAAATCACGGCTGACATCAATTGAGAGAAGTTCCCATTCAGAGTTTCCAGTAAAAGTGATAGAGCCAAGCTGGAAACAAGTGTTGTAAGAATATGATGATTATAGGCTCTGTAAAGTATGTAAAACAGAGCAGCAGTAAAAAACTAGCAATTGTTCTTCCAAATTTAGAATTGTAACTGGAAACTTTGGTTGCTTGTAATAAAAACCTAGATGAAATAGTTAAAACATCACTTGACCCAACGCCAGCGGAGGATCCGGT